GTTGATGGCCAGTGGCGGCACTGACGACATGTTGAGCTTTCCGATAGGAGTCATTATGGGTCACCGGATTGGAGGGGTCGGCCAAGGTGCTATCAATCAGTCGATTCGCTCGACTGGTCGCGCTCGACAGGAATGGGGCTTGCGGGACACGCGTCGATGTGGCTTTCAGGGATGTCAGACTGGCCGCTTTCGAGTAACTGCTCTTGGCTCGTCCAGGTCGTCGATTAGTTGCTGTAGGCTTCTCTTTCCGAATCACAAATTTGTCCATCCTGGGGGCTTCTGGTTATGAATATCTTCCGGCGTGGATATATTGTATTTTGATGTTGGATTGGTTGGGATTGGTTTTTATCAAGGCTATCGGAGAAGAGCGAGGAATGAAATAATGAGAGTAGATTGCATTTGCAGGTGCATTTGAATGTTTCATTCCGCATTTTTGAAGACCAAGTCGAGCATTTCACATCGATGCCACCCGGTCCCGAGGGGTTCGGGTAGTGCTTTTTATCCATTCGGTCTATTGATGATTTCACAGGCACGTAAAACTATGTATGATCTGATGACCTTAGTCTTCTCATCATTTTAATTACAATCCTGTTCGGATTCCAAAGCGTTACTTTGTTTTTTCTTGTGGACGAATGAGAAAATTGGACCACAAAGAAATGAGAGGGCTTTATAATCATACAGCTCAATCAAACAAAGTCTGGATGGGGAAACAAACAGTTTTTGAATGTTACAATAACAACAACAGCAGCAGCAGATGGAAATCTTACTATGAAACTTGAAAAAAAGGGATTGGTACATTTATTTATGGGTGTCAATATGTAGGAAAAGGATGATGATATCAAGAGAGAGAGAGAGAGGCGGTCTCGGGAATTTGGTGGTAAATTGGATAAATCTTCTCCAAAATCAGAAGAAAAAGAGGAGGAAGGTTTGGATCAAGTCTTCATCGTTTTCTTGAAAGCTAATCTCACATCACACAGAAATCGGTTAAAATTTCGCGTCTGATTTAGTTTTTTCAATAATGGATTAATCTCAGCTTAACAATATAAAGAAAAGAAAAAAAAAAGTCAGTTCTTTTTTTTGTTGATTTAAGTAGGCGAGTTGAAAAGCTTACTACAAGGCGGATCGATGGAGAGAATCTTGTAGTCGAAGTCACTCAGATCGAGTTCGATAGAGAAGACTCTGTCGTACGCATTCATGTCGATCAACTTGAAATTGAACTTCAACCTATCGGCTAAGAAACGGGCAAAAAAAAGAGAGGGATGGCATGTTTAAGTGATACGAATCTGTGAAAAGTTAGGGTACTATAGCTAGGTTGGACTCTTACGTGCGACGATCAAGATCGATAAACCGGTGATCTCTTCTAGAAAGTCGAGCTCTTTCTTAGTCTCTTGAACTACCAGACCCAGATGGTGTTTCTCGAGTTTCTTCTTGTTATCTAGAGACGAGAACTTCTCTCGACAGAGCTCGAAGGCGTCATTCAATTCGCCCAGCTTCAGCTCCATCCCGCGACGGTCATCAGTGAGCTTATTGAGCCGATTCCGGGCGGCCGTCAATTCGTTCTTGAGCTTGTCGTTCGACTCGACTGTCTCTGCCAGCTGTTTTTGGACGACTGCGAGCTCGCATTTGGCGTTGGTTCGTTGATGTTCTGAGTCGGCTAGCTCGAGGTTGAGTTGATGGGAGAGGTCCAGTTTGAGTCTCGAGTAGCGGTCGATGAGCTTGCTGAGTGATTCCTCGTGATGGGAGAGGATGCTCCTGAGTTCGGGGTCATATCCTACTCTGCCCTCTGGTATCTGAGGTGGTTCTGGGAGTTGTTTGAGGATATCTGTCCTGGGTGTTGCTGGGATGCTGGGGAGTGCTGCTACTCTCAACGGGGTCCTCGTGACTGGTGGTGTTCCGAATTGGAGCTGTCTCTTCTTTGATGGACTGACGTATCGGTTGTTGTTGTTGTTGATGTTGGTTGATGATCCGACTTGGCTGGCTGGGTTGTAGTTTGCTGAGAAGACGCTGATCCGCTTGGGTGTTGCGGGTGTGCTGGTGTTGTTTGGTGGTAAGGAGGGTGCCATGTGGGCTGTGATTGGGTTTTGGGTGTTGGTTTGTCTTGAGTCTTTGTTCCTCTCCTAACTTTTCCAAGCTCGCGAATTACATCCACGCTCACGAGTCACAACCAATCACCAACGTCGCATGTAGAAAACTCTACTCTCGCCGAACCAATCAACCCAACTCATGGCATGGTTCGTTTCACCTGGGCATCCCACCTTTTCATCAGTGAGTTTGTCCGCGTTTCTCATCCATATCATTCCCGCGCAATCATAACCAAAAAAACAAAAACAAATCCTGCAAGCCATATCCGCAACCCCCCCAAAGTATACTATAAGTTTGCACCACCAGCCAATAGATCGGACCGCCCCGAGGCAGTTTAGACTTTTTAAAACGGTTGACTGTCCCATTCCAGTTCTGCGTCAGGATGGGTTGATCAGAGTTTTCCGGCTTGTCCCGAGCTACATATCCTGACTCTTTAGATTTATCAGACTCAAATTCAAGCTCCAGCCTCCTTGAGCTGCGGTCAATTATATAAATATTTATTTGTGTCACTGCTGCAAAACAGAGATTTGGGTTGTGATTATAGATAACCTTGGCCTATGGGGGCAAAAGTTTCACTTCTGATCAAATCCAACACAAATCATCACAGAAAAAAAAAACAATGCAATCTGAAGCTGAGCCTGTAATTGGACAGACCAAAAAGCAATCCTTGAATATAAATATGGAGGAGTATTCCTCCAAGAATTTCAAAGGTTCAGCTCCTCAGGATCTTACATAATATTTCCTTCGAGAAAACATGCTGCTAGTTCCCAGGATTATGGTTAGAAATTCCTCTAATAACTCTGCTCAAAGGATCCCTGTCTGTGTAAATACTAATCACCCATCCTGTGGACTGCAAGCTTCTTCAAGTCATGGTACTTGTAACACCAACTATCAATGCAACTGAGCAAACTGGTAAATTACAAGATCAGCTTCTGTCCAGAGTGATCCAATACAAGAAAAACTGATTACATATAGATGTGATGTGCTATATATATGTAGACTTGTCAAATTCTGTGGGTCCAAAAGCTCCACTGAAATCTCATCACCAACACATGAAGCGTATGGAACTGGCAGAACATGTGAGTCATTTGCCTGTGATTTGATGCACTATAAAAGGGGGTTATCAATCTGATGTTTCCACTTGATAATGTATTTACAATTGATCAACCAAGAATCAATATTCCTCTGAGCTGTGTACGATTTGCCGGGAACAGTTGGGTGCAAATTCGCGCGAATGGCCTATCTGCAAGCATTTGTATCATTTCAATTGTATAGATGAGTGGCGAAAGGGGGAAGATGAGGAAAACAACCAATGCCCAAATTGTAGAAGTACCGATACAACCCTGGCAGCACAAAAAGAAGCTCAATTCAGGCTTCGACGTGATGACCGACGTGGACTATCTCGTGTAGGCAATCTCCATGATTTTCAACTTACATAGAAGACCAATAAACTCATTACATGTATATTCATGTATAGGTTTATGTGGCTAGTACTAGTAGTAACCAGTCACGGCCCCCCTCACTCTCAGACCTGAGTTGTCGTTGGTGTGGTGGAAGCATGCGTCGTGCCCGTGTCCCACCAGCCTCAGGACAATGGACTTTCAGGGTGAAGCTTGTTTGTCAGAGATGTAATTCTCCTGTGATGGTCCATCCATCTGCCCTCTCAGATTTATGATCAAGTTGTCTGGAAATAGCCCCAATGATCCATACCTTTAGCTTACAACTCTTGAAATGTCTCAATTTCTTCTCAAAACAGCTAGCTCCTAGTGTTGAATTGTGTCAATATCAGGGCTCATAATTCTGCTTTGGGATGCTTGTTTTTCTAGAGATAGTTTTTTTTTTTTTTCAGCTTGGATGTCAGATTTTGCTTGGAGGAAGTGTGTTCTTGAATTTCTTTTTTTAAGCTTTTCAGCAGGCCATGTGGCCGCTGCCACTGGTTTGGGATCAACTGGTATCTCAGAACTCCCAATCATGAACCCCACTAGTAGGAGATCTGGCTATGTAGTATTGTGGTCCAGAATGATTTGTGCCAAATTCTGGCGGATGAAGTTTGATTTAGCTTTTCTGTGTGATTCTTGAAAATGCATTCAAATCTGATCCTGAAATCTAAAAAAAATTGTTGACTGGTGCAAAAAAAGGGTGGAAAAAACAATTCATGAATTTTCATGCCTACAGGGCTATATATTGCATCATACTTCTTTGAATCCAGATAAATACAATCTTTATTATCAACTTAATTCTTAGACAAGATTATCAAAAATCATGATATCACTATCAGTGAAAAACAAAATGTTCCAATAGTTATTTTTCAGTTTTGATTGATTGAAAGAATAAAAAGCGCAAACAAATCTGGTGTACTTGTTTGGTGGTAAGCATGGGTCCTGTGGGTTGTTGGGTTGGCTTTTTAGTTGAGTGGTTTGTCATCAGTCTTTCATTTTTGCCAACTTGGAACAATATTTTATCAAGTCCACACTGGCAACACATCACAAGTCACCAAACATAAGGCAAAACTTCTTGTTAATTTACATCCAATACACAAAAAACCATGATTTTGAGCTTTGTATTACTGCCTATGTCTTACATATAATTGATCAACAAGACACTCACAAAAAAGTTGCATTTCAAGAATATTATACAGGATTTATTTCACTTGCCAACTTTAGGCTTGGATATAGGAGGTGGCACTTGACTCTGTCTCACTGCAAGTGGGGAAATGATACAGAAATAGAATAATAATAATGAAATCTTGGTAGGGCTGTTTCAACCCTGGATATTGTGGGTATTGTGTTACCCAGGGGCAAAAGACAATACCTTTATCCATTTTTGACTGAAAAAAAACCCAGTCATTGTGGTATTTCACTTTCAGGCACCATAATTGGTTGTTACAGATAGCAATAGCAATTGAAAATGGTAACTTTACTGAAGTTTTCCAGAAATTGTAAAGTACAGTAACTACCCACACTTGGAAAAGAATGGATATGTATTTTGCCTATGCTTACTTTTGATAAGACACATACCAAAACGTAAGCATAGGAAATGTTTTCAAATCCTTATAATGCTTACATTGAAGGGTCACCTGGGTAGCCTCATGTGCAGTTCATAATCTAGAAAATACATGGCAAAAAAATGATGAAATTTGAGCAGATTCACACAGATTTTGGGCTTGTATATCATGATGGCAAACAGGCTCTTATGACCATTTGAATATGTGGCTTTAATAGAAAAAAATAACAGCTACACTATTGCATTTATTAGTCAGTAAAACTTGTATATAGTGCTCCAGTATCTTACTTAGGCCGTCATGTAGGCTATTTTTTATCATTTTTCTTCTTTATCAAATGGTTATGTTACTTTCTCAAGTGGCATGCTGCCTATCAATTTTTTTAGTATTTTGGTTATGTTTAATTATTATTTTTTTTCAGAAAAAAAAAACATTCAAGCTGTACATGGCACTGAATCAACACCTGCAGTGGCACAAACCAACCAGTGCTTGTAACATCAGCTGAAGGGGGCTCATCTGATTCCAGGTTTTCCAATAGATATATACACGTTTGTTTTTGGAAAAAAGGGGGGGGTTGAAGGGAATGGTTTGGGTATCATGTTGGAACACAGCTTTGTTTTGGAAAACACTCGGTATGATAGACTTTCTTAGGGGCAAAAGAAAGTGTGTTTGCATGTTGGTTTAGTTGTAGTGTTGGGATATGGTTAGCACTCATAGAGACATTCAAAAGAGCAATTCTCAAAGAGAAGGAAAATGTTTTCATACTCACCTTCAATTCATTCAATTAGAAAAAATTTGTTCGTTTGTTTTTCTCCAACTCAGTCTAGTAACTAGTTATACAGTAAAATCCACTCCAGTCGGTCTGTCCACTGCATGCAGGGAAAACTCACTCAAGATCAGGTAGGATCTTAGGATACTGACACACCCACTACCATTTCATACTATGCCATCTGTTGATCATGGTCAAATTAAAACCAAATCCTCTGTGATGATAACTTGCTTGGATAGCTCATGAAAGTATATTGAAGCGGCTCTTAAGTAACTGTCAAATTTTCCATGATCATGAGGATACCTGAAAACCTATTGATTGCAAGTCATCTCTTTCCTTTGCAAAAAACATCTCATTTGGCTCATGACACATGGGAATTCTAATGAGTCAAGACTTCCCATACCGTAAATCAATAGTAGGAGGAGGGGAATTTTTTTTGTGGGATAAGGGGGAAGAAGGGAACAAACATTCATGACAGGAACTCAGCTAGATGACTCTTTTTTCCTCAAGTTTACTGAAATTTTCTCAAAGAAAATGCGTGTTTATATGATGAGAAAAACTGAGTGAAAAGCATTTTAGAAAGGAAGTGCGAGAAAAAAAGACTCTATGCAACAAGCAGGAATGAAACTGAGAGTAGAAAGTACTAAATCTTTCAACGGATTACAGGTGTGGGGCCGACAAGTTTTGGGCCATTGGGATTGAGAAGCGCCGTCTCATGGCTTTTCATAAATTGGCGAAATCCCTTCAAGGCTTCGCCAGTCAAGGGGCGGGGGGTAGAAATGTCGGGAAGGTTGGTATTGGCCAATTCTTCAACGATCTTCTCCCTTGTCATATATTCAAGTTTAACTTGAGCCTTCACAGATTTTCCAGCGGCAAAGTGTTTATTGTCCCACATGAAATCCTCGGTTCTGGAGTTAATATTTTGTTCCAACGTTTCCTTTACACCACTATGGATTGTTTTCACTTCCTCGTCGGTGAGTTTCGCATCCATCATGCGGGAGAACATATCATTTCGATACAATTCCAATCGGCGCTCCATCTTAGCGGGATAGTTCTTGAGGTTCTCGTCACGGAGAGTGTCGTCGTATGCAGCACGGCTATCCGCAAATTCCTCTACTTTTTTCCCCTTAGATGGTTCGAATATACGGTCGTAGTTCTTGATAGCCTTCGTAGGACCAGCATGCAAATCTATGTGAATCGCATCATTGAATTTTGAGGACGTGGTGGATCCTTTCACTGGTACATGCGGCTCGGTAATATCCAGGACAAGCGACTTGATCGACTCGGGGGATGTAGGGGCGGCGGCCCCCGGCCGTGTTTGTGAAAGGCTGAGGCCTAGGAGGGTAATGAGCTGACGAATCTGCATGGTGTGGGTCTAAATGTGACGAGTAAAATGTAGAGACTGGCAAAAAAATTCCCGATTTTGAAGAATAAATTAAGACACTTGAGAGGAAAAACAGCAGCGTGTAGCTCAGAGGTATTGAATGTGCTACGGGTGTGGTAATGTGCTCGAATGCCCTGGAGTTGCCTTCCCAGAATACGGCAACTTGGGGGGTATTTATACCTTTGCGCGCTTGGTGGGAGTTGGTTCAAGCCCGGTAATCTATGCTGATGCATGAGCTCCAGCTGAGATGACTTGAGCTGGTGGCAATACTTCGACAGAAACGTATCGCAACGGCGAGCTGTATGAGCGTTTAAGCCTTTTGCTCGTCTCACAATTATCATAAGAATGGTCCCCGGGCATTGGATGCTGTCTTCCGAACAGCTTTGAGCTGCCTCTGAGAAAGAGTCAAATAGAGTCTATATGACACCTTGATGTAGGACGGCTCCATCGAAGGGGCCGGCCATCGAGAGGAGAAATGTTCTCCCGCTGTCCTCATATCTTAACTTCGCTGAATCAACACCTAGATAGGTGTATCTATGCGGTTGTCGTGTAAGCAGCCTTACATGAGGACATTGGCTCCACATCGACGGCAATTAGAGTCTTGGCCTCGTAAACGTTTTTGCTTGACATGTTAGTGATTATCGATACATAATCCATGTTACGAAACGAGTTAAAGAAAATCAAAGAGAGAGCTTCAGGCAGCCGAAAGCTTGATCGCGCTCAAGATACAGGCTCATCCGACCTGATAGAAATTACTAATGCTACCGTGCAAAAATACCTGAACAGCCCCGAGAGCTGCTAGAGTGAGGGTTCACGCATGTGAGTTGTCTGAACGCAAGTCGTCACCCAACTTGCCCTACCGGGTGGTGAAACATGGTCGCATCGCGCCGACCAAACTGAGGGACTTGCAAACGCGGTAGACTTGCAAACGCGGTGCTTGGCTAAAAGAAAACTTGGCGATGGCACTGTACCTATCGGCAGGTGTGTTAGCGGGGAGGATTGTCGATACATTGTAACATAACCTTCCCAGCAAATTCAACCAAAACAAACCACCTGAAACTTGCTCATGAAAGTTTCTAATCACCTCCTTGTATGAAAAAAAGGTTTGGAGTCTTGCATTTATTTGATTTTGTTTTTAATTTCACTGAAAAAGTTTGTTTTATACACCTATTTAACTGGCATGGTTTGTTTCACCTTGCTGGACACCTCACCTGATCTTGAGTGAGCAATTTGTTTGGCTCACTGTAAACCAGATTGTTTACCTGCTGTAAAAAGTGACATAGCCTCCCCAGCAAATTCCACCAAAACAAACCACCTCAAACTTGCTTGTACTGGCAGTGTCTAATCACCTCCTTGTATGAAAAAAGTTTTGGAATCTTGCACTTGACTTTTTTTTTTCAAATTTCAATGTAAAAGTTTGTTTTTATATACCCAACTGGCATGGTTTGTTTCACCTAAACTCACCTGATCTTGAGTGAGTAGTTTGTTTGGGTAGCTTATCCATGTCTGTCTTGCCCACGCACTCATAATAATAACCCAACAGAGAAACCTTCCTACATGCCATGTTCACAACTATAAACCATGTTTTGTTGTATACTTGTATGCTGGTTTACACCTCCAACCAATTGATTGGACCGCTCCGAGGTGGTCCAGACTTTTCAAAACTGTTGACTGCCCCATTGCAGTTCTACATCGGGATGGGTTGAGAGTTTTCCAGCTTGTCCCAACCTATCCTCACTGAGTCACTCTTTATCATGCTCAAATCCAATCTCCTGTAGCTGTGTTGCTAAATTTCACTGCTGAAAACCAGAGCTTCATGTTATGATAATCTTAGCCTATGGACAAGTCTTGCCTGGTTTACTGTAATATGAACTAGGAAAAAAAATTTAATCTGAAACTTGTGAAGTGTCCTGGACATTTCACTGAGCTATTCTTGAATACATATAAATAGTTGTCTTGTAAGAGTATTCCTCTAAGAGTTTTTTAAGCAGGTTCAGCAACTCGGTATCTTGATATTTTCTTGAAGAAATATGCTGTTAGTTTTCAGCATATTGGTCACTATGGTTGGATATTCCTATGACTCTGCTTAAACTTATCACTTGGTCTCCTGTATATGTTAATACAAATCACTCATTCTTTGAATTTCCAGCTTCTTCAAGTCATTGTACTTGGAACCCCAACTATCCATGCAGCTGATCAAATTGGTACATTTCAATATCTACTTCTATCCAGACAATCATTCAAGACAAGGCAAGATAAACTAATTACATAGCTGTGGTATGTTGTATATAGGCCTTCCAATTCCTGTGGGTCCAAAATCTTTACTGAAACCTGTTCACCAACACACAAAGCGTATGGATCTGGTGGAGAATGTAAGACATTTGACTGTGATTTTCTATGATAAAAGAGTTCTATCAATCTGATGTTTCCATTTGATAATGGAAAATTAATCAATAAGAATCAATATTCCTCTGAGATGTGTACAATTTGCCAGGATGAGTTGGGTGCAAAATCATATAGATGGCCTACCTGCCAGCATTTGTTTCATTTCAGGTGTATAGACGAGTGGAGAAGATGCACAGAAGCACCACATGCTGAATGCCCAAATTGTAAGAGTACTGATTCACCTCTGGCAGGACAACAAAATCCTCAGAATAATAGCCAAGGTGGTGAATCCAGTGTAAGCAATCTGTCTGATTTCAGGTTAGAGGACCAAGAAAAACATTATAAGCTTATGTATATTGTATGTATTAATGCATCTAATCATGCAGTCAGGTAGTGATTCACCCTCATATGCCACATGTTTTGTTTGTGCTTCAAGAACCATGCGTCCTGTTGCTGGCCAACGAGTAACAGGGACTGGGAGGATTCAGCTTATTTGTTCACAGTGTCATCACTCTGTGACATTAAGGCTATCATAACAGTCAGGGACTTGATCAAGTTATCTGTAAATAGAATCAATTGGAGATAACCACACACCTATTGAAATACCAGAAGCATTGAGATGATCAAACAAGCTGGTGAAATTGCTTCAGTATAGAAGATGATTTTGGAATATCACTTGTTCTTGATTTCCTTTCTTTTTCTTTCACTCACATGGCACTAATTTTATGCTTCTTGCTCACATATGTTCATGTTTTATTTCTTATTCATTATCAATCACTATTGTTACCACAAGTTGATCCATCATGTATCTAGACTACTTGAGATCCCCAGATTATGTAGTTACTTATAAGGAATGGAACCATCAGTCCAGGTTTTTTTCTGATCCTGAGAACAACATGTTAGCCTTGACTCAGTCTTACGTCCAGAGCACTTAATCCCTCTCAATTAAGTACTTCACACATCTTTCCAGAACTTGCCTGCTATCAGCCCACCCAATCTTTACCACTAGACCCCTTAATTGCATCAGACATGGCTGTCATTTTGGTACAATTCTTAGAAATTTAGTCAAATAGGAGGTATCAAATATAACCAAATCCACCACTATTTGATTGATTGGTTTGAAAAAATCCACCATTCTTTAAACATGTTGTTTCTTCATCTTCAACCATTGGGCACCCATTGATGAAGAGAAATATTTTTGGATAATTGACTGGTTTCTAATGGTGGATTTCCTATACTTTATACCCCCTAATATTATCCTACAATCTAAAAGAGCAATTGACTCATGCAACAATATCTCAAAAAAAGCATTTGTAGATTTCCATGCCTACAAGAGAGCTTTGACATCAAGATTCTAAGAATCCAGATAACCAAAATCCTTATTTCATTTGAGTTAAATTAATGCTTAGGCCATGTTTGGCACCAATATAACTTAGTGATATAATGTGGATTCTTATGACATCATGAAGCTTTGGCAGACTTGATCTAATCATCACATTGGAATTACTAGAAAGCTTTTATGCTCTTAGAGAAGTTTCACCACGGGCACTACATTGAGTCCCTAGTTGGAATTTACCAACTCAATGTGACCCACCACAGCTGCTATTCATGCCTTAAACTTACAGCCGTCCCTAAATTTTGTTTGCAAGTCCCTACATGTAGGGACTTCTAGCAGCTTTCCATCCTCATCAAAATCCACTTTGAATCACATGCTGAATAATATGTGAAATGTCACTTCATCCAATCATTCACACACCTGGTTGATCAGATATCCATCTCCTCAATATCCAGCCATGGCAACACCAATTGACATTGTTCTTGACACTGCTCTCCAAGCTCTCATGCCAGAAAAAAACAATGGTGAGTGATTGTCAACAGGCAAGAGTGTGACACCTGTAGTGACACTCTTGTCTGTGACAACTAATATACAATATTGATCAAGATACAACAATAATATTCCATAATTAGTATACAAGGTTACAAGCTTGAAAAATTATAATAAATATAAGATTAGGCAACTAGAAAGAGAAAACATGAATAAAGTAGAAAAAATAAATAATCAACACAAAACAAGACAGTAAATTGATGAGATCACCAACAGGTAAACAAACAAGTGGAGGTTTGTATAAGACAAACATAAATACAAGTGTGATGAGTAGAGACTCCCTTAAAGCAAACAGGCTACCTCGCCCAAGAGGGCCCTTATCAAAAAATGAACTATGATCTCATAGTTTGTCTCTTGGGGATAAACCCAAACAGGAAGACAAGATTTCTTAAGAAAAGATCTTGAGCAAAAAATGAGAGCTCTCCCCTCTTTTTTCCCCCAGTGTTAACCAATTACTTATTTTTAGATATATTACTGTAGCCTCCCAAACCCAAAGAGAATTCACTAAAAGAAACATCTTTTAGAAATACCTCTTGAGCTAGGATACTTATGCTATATCTTATAATAAAGTTATCTAACCCCTTGCGATTCCCTATCCCATACAAGCCTTGGTAACCTGGACTGTTATCCATTGCTTGTTATCTCAACCTTATTATTTCCCACCTTGACTACCAGTCTGAGTATTGGATTGCCCTGGCTTATTGATTCAGGAAGCTTGAGTAAGTCTCAAGAGCTTTGACCTGATCTTCGAAAGAATTTTATGAACATTCCTCTTGTTTTTTCTTATAGTCTATGGCTATAATGCTGCAAACCTCTACCTTTGTAAGTAGTATAAGCCTGACACTGATTTTCTTTGATCTTCAAGTTCTGATCATTACTGTACATTGTTTGATTGCTTCCCTGGGGGTTTCCTTTGTTGTCTTTTCTGTTCTTGTCAAAGGATTTCTTGAGCCACTGCTGCTCCGCCTTGAAGAACAACCAATACCTCCTGTGTTGACTGGATTGAGGTTGTGATGATTGAATTTTCAGTATTGACAAAATTGTGAATGACTGTCAGAAGATCTATCAAGCAAAAACAAGTGCTGTGGCTGGCAAGTTAGGCTGTCATTTGTTGGCAGGGGATCAGGGGGCCCCATGGGGATCTACCGTTTATAGATTTGACTTGCTTGATGTTTTCTTAGATTCATAGTGCACAATGCCATAGGCCTAAAGTCACTTTTAAAAATAAAAAAAGTACTTGTTTGCCAACTTGTGGTGTATGCTGCAGCACTTTGATAGCGGTGGGCCGCTACGCTACACTACGTCACGGGCTCATGTAGTGTTAGCGTAGCGGCACCAATTTTTTTTGTGTAGTGTTAGCGCGCCGCTACTGCTGCTGCGCTACGCTAACTTGTAGTGGCGCTAACACTAGCCATTTTTTGGTGTAGTGTTAGCGCGCCTCTGGTGCCGCTACACTGCGTTACGCTACGCTACAGCGTTTTTAGCGGCAAAAAAACGCCTAAAAACCGCTAAAAATTGCTGTAACACAGCGTAGCGGGCGTTTTTTTGCACCCTGTGCGCGTAGCATTAAGGCAGATGGGGGGAATGGCGCTAACACTACGCTAAACATTAGCACAATTTTTTGCCCCATGCACGTAGAAACGGTGGTTTGGGATACAATCCCGCCATCCTCTCCCCCCTCAAAAAATATGTAGGACCCTCAGAACGCTTTTGCTTGGTAACAGATCCCCAATCCCTAACCCCTAACCCTAATCCCTAATCCCTAAGGACTAATGCCTATTGGGGTGATTGAGAAGGAGGTTTATTTATTTATTTATTTTTGAAGTAAAACTTTGATTGGTTTGACTGGAGGGGGGGGGGAGGATTGAGGGATTGCGGTGTAGTATGCCAATTGTGTTTCAAGTATCAAATTGCATAAAGTCACAGTCCAATATGTAGAAGGGCATATATTATTAGGTGTATTATGGCATAATCATATTCTACAGGTCATTTAACCCATAGTCACTCACTGGGACCACTAGGCTAGCTCCACGCAGTCAAAAGTTAGTTGGGATTTAAGTTTTATTTGCATACAAAAATGCTTATTGCATAATGTAAACCACAAGTTGGCCTTAGTTTGTTTACATATTCAATATTTATTGCATAGGGTAACCACAAGTTAGCCACATTGTTTGTAGGTACACTGAGAATCTTGTATAGGGCTAGAACCACAAGTTGGCCATTTATAGATTATAGGTTAGGGCTAGAACCACAAGTTGGCCATTTATAGATTATTGGTTAGGGCTATAACCACAAGTCAGCCAGGTTGTAAAATAACTATTTAAGGAGGGGCTTTCCCCCCTCATTCCAATTTTTCATCATCTCATAGCATCTCATCTGATCATCAACCAGACAGAACAGAGCAATCAATCCATACATTAACCAGTGTGATCTTAATCAAGTGCCCCACTGAGATCATTCAGACTTTGAGAAGCATAGCAAAAGGAAAGTAAACAACCAGTACAACTTGTGATCTTAAAAACAAGAGACAGTGACCTAAACCATTGTGCTCCCAACCAAGGTTAAGGAAGAAGGGAAAGACACTCTCAATAGTCACATTTCTTTCTTCAGTATCATCTCATAAATTTCCATTCATTATCAGTACATACTCCAATCATTTTTCAAAAATACATAAAACATAAAAAGAGAACGCATCTGACTCAACAATTCCACTCCAACAGTCTGCTGAATTCATGTTGATCTAGGTTTGATAAGAGACTGCTACACATAGTTTTCTCTATCATCAGTTTTTGCCACAACAATAAATAAATTGTTGTGTTAACTCTTGTGTAGTACAATAGAGGGGCAGGTCTTTCAAACCAGCTGTATCAGTTGTAGAAGATCATTACATATGTGATATATCTCATCTGCTATTTCCCCCTCACAGGACTGCCACCATTCTTAAAGGAGTTCTCACAGCGGGATCAGGATTTATTGCTTTTGCACTGTAGGAGTGCATTCACATGTATTTCTTACTGCACTTCTACAGTGTATGGCATGTAGGCCCATAGGTCAATGGTTTAGCAACCCAAATTTAGGGCCCGCAATGGAGCTAGCTTAACTAAGCCTCTCCTTTAGTTGGGGCCGAATTGGCCAACCCCGCGTCCCAAAGGGACGCTCTCCGAAGGAGAGGCTTATGCCATAAGTCTCTCGCACGGCGTGAGGCTGGCAAATTTTTGCCAGGAAAATCCCCAAAATCGCAATGATCTCCGTTTTTAAAAAAATTGTACAGACCAAATTGGACTTGGATAAGTCCAATGTGTAGCCTTCGATTTCAGGCTTCTCACTTTTTTTTTTGTAATTTTTCATCCAGAACAGGTGGTTGTGCAATCAACCTTGTACCACCATTCCCTCATCATTGCAATCATTGGATCGGAGTATCCGAATGTTGTTCGGACCACTCTCACATGGGTTTTTTGCTATTAACTTATGCGCGACCTCTTTCCAATAGAAATCTCTGGAAGATTCCCATGGCCTGACAATGAGATGAGAGGAGTGCAATGAAAAGGGGTGAGACTATATATATAAGTCTATCTATCAGTTTAGGCCGGATCCATATGGCTAGGTATCCGGTCTCTACCAGAGCGGATTCCCTGGATTCCTGAACGCTCTACATCACCATAGCATCCAGGGGAGAGCGGTGGATGGTGATTTGTGGTGATGGGCACTAGTAGAAAAACACACTGATTCCAATGGTGCCATTGGCACCGTTGGAATTGGTGATGCTGAGGGTAAATTTGGGTGAAAACGACTTTTTCAGGAATTTGGCTGGGTGGCCTCAAGCCAAATTCCGCTCTTTTGTCACAAGTCCCTCCCTGCGGGAGGGGGTGCTTCGCACCCAGCAACAGTGTTACACAGCGTCCTCCCACCAGGGAGGGACTTGTGTTAAGTTAGCAATGGAGTTGCTCTGAGTGCGTGCAAACATGCCTTTTGACAAGGTTTACAAGTGAAGGACTCAACCGTTGTACCGGTACACCATGATGTTTACAACAACAACAAAAAGGG